AGAGCAGTTGCTCAGAAGTTGGCTGGAAATACTTAAGCAGTTGAGTGGAGCTTTAAGAGAACCAAGAAAAAAGAATCATACTATGTGCCTGAAGAGAGAGAAATGAAATATTTGAACAGAATAACTCACAGTTGCTATGAAATACTATGCATTATGTAGCCAACTCTACCTGTTTCCTTGCTCAGGGCAAAAGACTTCTTTTACCATGGGATTAACGCTTTTTGTCAGGAAGTATCATCTCTGTCCTGCCTAGCAGAGATAACATGGTTCCACTCTTCTGTAGTTACAGCTCTGAGCTATGAAAGCTTCAGTGTCCAGGCACATAGACGTAGTGTAGCATCTGGGGCTTTTGTATGGAAGCAATTACACTCTTGGTGGGGTGGGGGATAGTTAAAATGCAAATATACTATTTTTTACTAGTTCTTGGAGGTCAAGCCTCATGCATTTCATTTGAACTTCTTGATCAATGCCTTTCAAATCTCCCTTGCTAATTTTGGCTTCTCAGAAATCATTCTACCAAGGCAGAAAATTGGCAGTCAGGTAAGTTTCCTTGGCCTTTAGATAATTTTATTTCCTAACTTGTAATTTTCCATTGCTCTCTGTTCTTTATTGACTTTCTATTGTCCATTACATTACACACATAGTGGCGACATTGATCATCACACAAGAATATACATTCACTTATCAAAGGTTGATCCATGAGGTGGGTTCAATTTAAGAATGTTATACATGAACACAGGACGGATATTATAAATAACTTTTAAAAGTTCCTTCTCAGAAACAAGTAAAATAAATTTTCTTTATTGTTAGCAGAGTCCTTTTGAGTTTAGATATGTTGTAAGTAAGTAGTCTGTGTCCTTGATAACTTGAAATTTGGAATTTTTGTGCTTGAAAGCAGTCATGCTAAGTGCTTGAAGATGGAACTAAGTAAGCTATCTTACAAATGACTCTGTAAGGTAGATTTTGAAGAAATTTGTATAAGAAGATAATCCTAACTACTGTAACTATGAAACTCACAGAATGTAGAGATGGATAGTCGTAGGAAATATAGTTCTTTTATTCCCATGTATGAATGTGAAAAAGTTCAGAAAAATCCAGTGATTAGCCCTCAGTGGATGTCAAGGTACGCAGTTCTTGATGTATAGAAACTACTCAGTGGAAGTGAGTCTTCTGCATACTGAATAAAAAACATTGACTGAAAGATGTGTTAGCTAATTCTGTTATAACAGGAGTGATCCAAGAACTGAGTTCAATATGCTTTGGTGAAAACTTAGGAGATTGAGACAATTAGGAAAAGCTTCTAAAGTTAAGAGGGTTGAAGTTGAGACCTGATAAAAGCTCAATGAATGGCTCACATATTCCAGTCAAGACCGTAAGAGTGTGTGGGTCAAGAAGAAACTGTGATAATGGGAGGACAATCCACAGGGTGATCCTCTGAAAGTTAAACAAAAAAAAAGAGGGAATTATTATCTGTATAAAATACTGAAAAGGGTTTTAATAACGCAGAGTATGAAAATTCAATATAGTATTTGCTCAGATGGAAGCTGGTGATAACTTCGATCAGAGTAGTTTTCAAAATCCTGAATAAAGTAGGTTGGGAGAAATGTGCAGTGAGAAAATAAAGAGTAAATTTATACAACTCTTTGGAGTAGTTGCAATGTAATATAAAAAAAGCAGAGAAATTAGTCCACAATTAAAGATGATGTAGAGTCCAGGGAGAGAATATTCAAAGAAAAGAGATTAATTAAAGCATTTCTGTATGCTGATGAGAATGATGCATACTCATAGAAGCCCACTTGAGAATGGAGCAGTCAAGACTCAATCCAATTGGCAGGTCATGATTAACATGACAAGATTGCTGTTCTGTTTCCAGACTGTGGGAGGGCAATTCCAAAGTTCAAGGAAATGAAATTGTTACATCACCACCTCAATGGCCTTTAGTAATTTCCTTTTAGAAAAAAAGAAGATGGTTACAATGATCTTTGATCAGACCAAAGGTCTTATTCCAAACCATGACAGGAATTAAAATGTAAATATATTTTGTTGAAACAACATATATTTTCTATGAACTTCTTTAATACCACTGGTATTTGGCATTGTGTGTGTGTGTGTGTGTGTGTGTGTGTGTGTGTTTTGGAAGACAAACTTCACTTCAGAAGAAATTACTAAACAGTCAAAATATATACAGAAACTGAGGAGCAATTTTCAATAAAACAATCAAAGAAGATCAGTATTTTATTTTACGAATCATTTCTGTAAATGCTGGAGACAGTAAATAAGGAACAATTTATGATATTGAAGGTAGAGGAACACATCCTGAAGTTTCTTTTCTATCAGATCTTTAAAAAAGTTCAAGACACAAATTTGTGAACTGACAGGTGAGTATTTTGGGGACGGAAACATCCAAAGACTTGGGCTATCTGAAGCAAAAGGGGGCAGCTGGGGAACCTGAGTGAAGGTCTTGGTTTTTATCCAGTCGGCATAAGAATCGACCTAATGAAAATTGCCACTAGCTTCTTGAATGAACGGACAGAGTGCCCTACTTTGCCCACATCAGTGAATCCATGAATCCTTTGCTCTAAATTTTCAGAAAAAACTTAGAAATCAAGGAAATTCTGGAATAGTGAAGCTGTTCGTGCCAGGACCTGAAGCACCAGACCTGCAGGAGCCCATTCAGTTCCTGCCATGGCAATTCCCTTGAAACTCTTTTTATTTTATTTTTTATTGTTCTCATTTGTTACCATAGTTAGTGAAGACACACTTAATTGCAAAGCTGTCATCAATAAAATTTTTCATAGTACCTCATTGTGAAAGGATTTTTCATGTGTATTAGAAATTTTCAAAAGCTTAATAATTCTGTGTCCAATTTGCAGCATCTTATTTAAACAAAGACAGGATTGGTCATACTACCTACTAAAACACACTTTCAGAAATTACAGGATCTTTTTTTACAAGAGCTTTGTAGATAGGTAGAGATACTCTCTCTGGTAGGTTTCCAGGAATGGTTCTGGGGGATGTGCGTGTGCGTGTGTGTGTGTGTGTGTGTGTTGTGTTTTACCAGAAGGCACATGCACTCACTGGAGAGAGAGAAAGAGAAAGGGAAAGTGCACCTAGTATGTTTTTAAAGCTGCCAGGTCCAGGGCTTGAACAGGGTAGTTGGCCATCCAGTCTCCACAACCATCATGCCACTGGATGGCCTGTGCTCTATGGGCTTTTAAGAAAACCAGGACATTGTTGGGAAGATACTGGTTGGGAAGTGCTTCTAGGATTAAGAAGTTGAAGTTGGGACTTGAGATAAACTCAGAGGATTGGCTTTAATATTTCAATCAAGACTTCACAGTGTCATTACACTGACCATGTTCTCGGGTGAATCCTTATCACTGTGACATAGAATCCTTTGATTACATTCCCTATTACTCTGAGAAGTCTCATAGGGTTCATCTCCTTGGTTCATCAGTCAATTTCACAATATATGGATGTATAATTCTGTGTGGAATTGATGGTTTCTTAGCCTGGTGAGTAAGTGACCCAGTAGAGGCTTTAGATAAAGAATGGCTGTAAGGAATGCAGAAGGGCTTGTTTTCTATAAAGTAGAGGGAACGACTACTCTGCCATATGCATTTTGTGCTGCAAAGCAATTATAGTTTTTTAAGGTTTTTGGAGGATTAGTTGTTTTGGAAACTCAAATTTAAGTGGTGGTTGATAGTTGGGCAATCTAGAAAAATACAAATGCAGTCTTAGGGGAAAAGAATAATGCTTCAGGGAAAGATAGTTTTAGGCAGCCTAGAACCTTCCCATGTGGGTCAACTTCACACAACTTTGAGTTTTACAATTGAACCGCCATGTTGCCACATTATTTTCATTATGCTTTTACGATATATTTTATTGACAATTTTTTAAATTTTTTTTTTCTTGAACAGTATTCAGCCAATCTTAGAATCATGCAGAAAAAGCACACACACACACACACACACACACACACACACACCTCTTGTTTAAATGTTATAGAAAACAAGAATTTTTAAGTCCCCAGGAAACAGAACTCTGGAAGGGATTGGGTGCTTCTTAATCTACAGAGAAGAGTAGTCCTCTGTAATGAATGCCATTTAGATTCTTTTGCGGACATAGCTACTCTGCTGGAATGAAGTCAGCCTGTTACTGAGCTGGATGATCTGTAGTGCAAATATGCTGATCTTCCATACACTGGCTACTTAACTCCAAATGAGGTCACACTGTTGCCTCGCTCAGTTCTAGGAATGTTTTGATGTTGCAATTTTATTCCATGTCCAGTGATTTAGAAAACAGATTTTGAGTTTTGCTTCTCTCTAATAAATCCATTGGTGGCTGTGGTGAGCTTTGTTGATTTACTGTTGATACTTTGTTTTGTTTTTAAAACTGTACCTGTTTGTAGCTTAGTAATATGCACTTGTGTTGAATTTAGTTTAGTGTTTGATTAAGCAGTGAGGTGTCCACTAGTCTGGGATCCTTAGCCTGATTTGTGTGCTGCTTCTAACCTCTGATCCCATCACTTTCTAGCCTAATTCTGTATGTTCCCTGCAGTTACATGATAAGCTTTGCCACCTCTAACTATCCCAATAGCCACTAAGTTTTCTTTTCTTTTTTTTGAGGTTTTTGCTATATGGCATATGTGCTCGCTGGAAAGACAGAGAGAGACAGAGAGATAGAAAACAAAAAATCACACCTAAGTGGGGAATGGCCATGCCGCAATCCCTTCTCTATTCTGCTCTTGGGATCTTGAACACACATGCACACACGCCTGGCATGAGTTTAAGCCGCCCAGTCTGGGACTTGAACTGCAGTTGACTACGTAGAAGTTCAACGACATTACCATTATTCCATCTGCTGCTTTCTAAGTTTTTAGCAAATAGAACTGAGTGGTGGAAGACGTCTTTCATGTGTGGAATTGCTCTGAAATACACAACAGAAAACACTTCTCATTACTTCATTACCTTCTTAGACTTAAACTCTAGTTTCGCTCTGGCCTCCTTTGAAGTTGAGATGGGTCTTTCAAACACACCATGGTTTGTCTGTGTTGTGAGCAGCTAACACTGCTCTGAAGACAGTTTTAAGTACTTTCATGCCTCATGCTGCTGAATGGAGCAATGCCTGCATGAGGTGGAGAGCATTTCTGCAGCTTCTCAAGGGAAGGCTGTGTATCTTGTGGTTACCTAGGGGGACTCTTGGACAGGTGGTGTCAGCATATTCTCAGCATGGCAGTGGCTTCTATCCAATCTTGGAGTGGGCGCAGCCGTCTTTCCTTGGCATCATCTAGGCAGAACTTAGCATGAGTACCAAGATGTCTTCATCCTCAAATGTGCCTGTCTCATGAAAATATAATAAAGTTGGTCCATTTTCCAGCATTTTTCTTCTGAAATGAAATTATCACATGAAAGTTGACTTAATATGACTCCAGAGCAAACCCCAGCATTTTGCACAAACCATTTATCATTTAGACTTAGTTTTCACTGTTAAGCCCTCCAGTTATTTATTCTCCAGTTTCTGTATTACTGAAAGAAATATTGTGTCCTCACCCCCTCTGCTAGAATGGGTTGAAGGAAGGGTCCTGTCTAAGATTTCCAGTGTGCTCCAACAATAAATCAACCATTCAAGACAAAGAGTAAGTGGTCTCCATTGGCTATAGGATATGCATGTTAAATGTTAAAATAATTTTTTTAATGTAAAAATATACCACAAAGGGGGTGACTGCAAGGGGCTAAAAAACAGCTCATTGTATGTGACTAGCAATAAGAAGAAAAAGGAAAAATCTCTATGTCTAGGGTTGGGTTTTTGTTGTTGTTTTGTATTATTTTCTTTTTTTTATTTAATTTTTTAAATGCATTCCATCACATTATTATTTGGCTTACAAAATGGATATTTCAGCAGGTGAACATTTCTCTCTAGTACAGTTGATAAAACTATGAAGTATCTTCAACAGATAATACCACATTTCTTTGTGCCATTAATGCTTTGCCTCCCTATTTTTCTTCTAAATGTCCTTCCTCAGACCCTCCTCTTTCATACACACTATATCTGGTATTTACATCTATATATTGTGTTTCTATATCCTTTGGTCTATTAGTTTTAGTCATAGAGTGCGGACACTCGGTATATATTAAGTGGGGACATAAGGCCTCTCCTTCATAGCTTGGCTTGCTTTACTCAGCAGTAAATCTTCCATATTCATCCACTTCCTGTCAAAAGCCAGGGTTTTGTTTGTTTTTGTTTTTTTTTTATGGTTGAATAGTATTCTGTAGAGTATATTGTGCCACAGTTTTTCTATCCATTCATCTGTTCGTGGGCATTTGGGTTGTTTCCATGACTTAGCAGATGTGAATAGTGCCACAATAAACATCGATGTGCAAGCACTTTTCCGATGAAATATTCTTCTGTCCTTTGGGTAGATACCAAGGAGTGGGGTTGCTGGATCATATAGTAGTTCTATTTGTAGATTTTTGAGGAATCTCCAAATTGTTCTCCCCAGTGGCTGGACCAATTTACATTCTCACCAGCAGTGTAAGAGA